GTTTCGCCGCACGCACACACGCTACATCCGTCAAACCGACTGGACACTGTTCAAGGCATCTGTCAAGTCTGGCTGTGAGAACATGACTGATCCATCCGAGGTAGAGAACATCATTGCTTCTTCACTGCGTGACAGAACCAAACAGGTTAACCTACCGATGCAGAGATCAGCAGTTGACTCCCAATACGAGGCCCTTCGTGCAATCCATCGCCGTGCCGAACGCCGATACAGACGAACGAAGTCACCTTCAGACCTTTCCGCCTGTCGTCGAGCTCAACGACATGTTCTTCGGCATCTGGACAAGATTGACAGGCAACGTTGGAGAAATTTCTGTGGATCTCTGGACCCCAGGCAACCTCTATCTAAGATCTGGCGGGTGGTACGAAGTTTGCAGACAACTCCCCAACAACATCAATCATTTCAAGCTGTTGCTCTACATCAGGGACGGACAGAAGTTGAGATAGCCAGTGACTACTGTAGCCTCATTGTGGACACCAGTGATGATCTTGCCACTAATGAGCTTCTTACTACCATTGCGCCTCCATCGTCTGACGAGCGCCTTGATGTACGTTTTACAATACATGAGCTTGACTCTGCGATTTATGCCTCCCACCGATCATCGGCACCAGGACCTGACGGAATCACGTATGCTGCACTCAACCATCTTGATACAGAAGCACGACGTATCCTGTTATCTCATTATAACACCTCATAGGAGTCAGGAGAAGTCCCAGCTAACTGGAAATGCAGTCGCATTATTGCATTGATCAAGCCGGAGAAGTGTCCTTATGCACTTTCCTCCTACATACTAATCGCGTTAGCCAGCTGCGTCGGAAAAGTGATGGAAAGAATGGTACTGGCACGATTAGAGTGGCTTCTAGAGAGCAACAACTCCTTTCCTGTATTTATGAACGGCTTCAGAAGAGGCCGATCTGCCATTGATGGTGTGGTCGACTTGATCACCAGCGTTGAAGAGGAAAGAAGCCGACCCAGACTAGTGGCGGCGGTCTTCTTAGACATTAAGGGTGCCTACGATAATGTGCTGCATTATGCGATCCTTGACGCACTGGAAGATTTCGACATCGGTGGACGACTGTACGCTTAGAATTTTAGCTACCTTAGGGACCGCACCATTTACATGACGACAAGTAACGGAGACACCGATCGATATAAGGTTCATCGTGGTGTTCCCCAAGGAGGAGTTCTCAGCCCGATCCTATTCAATGTCACAATGATCGGCCTAGCAGCAGAACTTCCCAGCACGGTGAAGATCACTGCATACGCTGACGACCTATGCATATGGGCATCCGGAACTACTCGTCCGCAATTGCGAGCTCGACTACAGCGTGCAGTGACGATCACATACAAATATCTACGACGTCAGGGGCTCACTCTTTCAATCGACAAATGCGCAGTGCTTGCGTTCACGCGCAAGCATATGTCGCAATACCCGATATTTATTAATGGGACAGTGATACGCGCTGTAACGCACCACAAGTTCCTTGGGGTTGTCGTACACAGAGATTTATCGTGGACGAGGCATGTCGCCGTACTTAAATCTAAATTGAAGAGCTTTGCTCTCATTCTTCGTCACGTAGCAGTAGCAAAATGGGGCCCATCAGAATCATCGCTACTTCAATTATACAATGCTATATTTGTGGGATACATTCGATACAGCATGCCGGTGTTTTTCAATGTGAGACCTAGTTGCGGGAAGACACTCGAGAGTGTTCAAGCTCAATGCTTACGAAGATGCTTGGGTCTACCACGCTGCACTTCAACAAATGGGACAATCGCAGAGGCTCGGCCTTGTCCCATCATTGTATACATGCTCTGCGAGCCACTTAGAGTTTACCTACGATTACTGAGCAGACACAGACAGCACCCGCTGTCAGTACTACCCGCCACTCACCCAGATTGCGGTTTCTCAAAAGTAATATTGCGGCATGAAAATATTATACCATCAAGGTTTTCTCCGCCAAATGCCCCTGCAGTGTCACCATTGGTTCTGCCTAAACCACCTATCTCTTTTACGATACCTGGAATTACGAAGAAGTCGCTCATTTCTTCTGTTGGCCTCAGACAACTGATCCTATATCACATTTATAGAACGTACAGTGATTCTCTGCACGTGTACACCGACGGATCCACCACGCTAAACACCTCCGCCGCAGCCTTTGTCATCCCAGACATGGATATCGCTCGACAATTCAAAGTGGACCATAAAACCACATCAACTGCCGCAGAGCTTGTCGCTATCCTAGAGGTAATAAGGTTTATTTTCGGAGAGCGACGTCGAGCCTGGATGATTTTCTGCGATGCCAAACCCGCTTTGCAAACCATTAATTGCATCATGAAGCAAGGTCCATATTACAGCTTGGCAATAGAAATCACAGAACTTATTCAGGTTGCTTCAACAAATGGCCATCTTATAACTTTCCAGTGGATTCCCGCTCATTGCGGCGTGATGGGAAACGAAGAGGCAGACGCTCAAGCTAAAAATGCCTTAAGCAGTGCCCTTGAAGTACGCATTGCGTTTTCACGAGCTGACACGAACGCCCTGCTTCGCTGCGTGATGCGCAGCTACACACTTCAGCACAGGACCAAACCGGAACGGCGACACCAGCGACTTCACAAATGGGACCCGGAAATGAGGTTCCACATGCCTCCTAAATTGAAACAGCAACTCACAAGTATGATCCACCGCATTCGTCTTGGTGTAGCGTACACTAGACGTTACGCACATATCATCGGTCGCAGTGACAACGGTCCTAATTCTGAACACTGTGATGTGCCAGAAACACTTGAGCACATATTTTGTGTCTGCCCAGCATATGCACGTGAACGACAAACACTGATTTCTTCTACTGAACAATATCGCAGTAGGTCATTAACTGATGAGACCATGTTGGGCCCTTGGCCAGACACCAACAGTGCAACTGCAGTCACAAGAGCAGTTATTACCTTTTTAGAAACAACTGGACTGTGTGCGCGGCTATAAAATGTGTCTCAGCTAGAAAGAACACTACATACCCACCTCTCTATCTCACCATCGTCATCCATTATTCTTTCTTTTCCCCTTTCCCTTCCCCCAGTGTAGAGTAGCAGGCTAGAGCAAGCTATCGCTCATGCCGACCTCTCTGCCTTTCTGTAAATAAACATACTTCCTTCCTACTTCCTAACTTCAGAACCAATTACGTCATACACGTGATCTTTGCAAAACGAAGCTCGAAGAACATGCTTTTTGTTTGCGGCAACCAAAAACGTTATACGGGTCGCTTGCGCCAGTTACGTGATTAAATTTACCGTCTAGCCAGGCCAATCTGCGGGAAAAGTCATAATGGCCACTCTTCTGTGTTCGTTAGACTGGGCTCAGAGCGCGTGCCTTATCATACTACGGGAACAGTTCGACAGCTGCGTCGTATATAACAGTGGGGTTCTTAGTATATTGTATCACATGGGAGATGTGCCGGGACCGGTGGAAAACGCTGTAAACTGGGAAAACACAGCAGTTCTTCACCGGATACTCGAACACCAGTGGCGACGAAGGGACCAGATATTGATACTTTGGTTCAAGTCCAGTGAACAAGAAGATAGCCAGTAGCCAAGACGTTCGCTGTTGAATCTCGAGGTGAAGCTGATTATGACACTAAAACTATCATCGTCATAAACAGGTATGTGCAACCCCAATTGCGCAAACTTGAAGAAGGCAAAAGCGTACGTTCCAGTCTTTGAAGCTTTGAAACTTTATTCATTGCAACGTTCCATCATTTTGGGATGCTGATAGTCTTCCTACTAGCCACTTCTTTTTAGTGGTAACAATAAGACTATCACCACCAGATAGTCCAAAAAGTGGCTATCATCACGGGTATGTGCCACAGAAATTGGGCAAGTCCCACTTTTCTCCACTTGTCCAAGAAAAATTAATGCAACAGTTAACCCAGAAAATAGTTGCGAGGCGATGGCGGTGAAACAAAAACGCTGAGTGCGTACTACTAGACAATATTCAAGAACGAAACAGGCAAGGTAGCGTGGTTCCAAAGCCTTATGCACCTTAGCAGACGGTGGCCATGAAATCGCGGCGTGCGTATGCAGAAGCAGAAACTGCGCTCGGTCGGCGAGAATGGTGGGTAGAGCTTGGTTGATTTTGTGACGTCATCGCAATGTCAATGTTAAAATGCATGACTTTATGATTACATGACGTCACATGACATCACCGTTTGTTTAAAGGTAGGGGTATTCGGAAGGCGCTGCAGCGTGCTATGCATGAAGCAGGGAGCTTCAGGAACGCTAGAAGAACGGAAGGCGGGACAGTACATTTTATCTAGAAGTTGAAGGATATCCCCTTAACAATTCACTGAAGTGCTGAAGTGAAAGGGGAATTGAATCAACGGTGAAGACAGTTGAAAAGGCTCTTGGATTGATGTCTCTTAGGGAGGACCTAAAACATCGTAATTTTTTTTACGTATCGCCTGTAACTAGGATTCTCTACGCTGCACCATTGCAAAGCTCTCCCACTCCAAGTCTTGCGTGTAGAAAAAGCGCATAAGCCCAGCCGCATCATTTCACGCATGCACCTTACATTTAAGCCGATTGTCGAATTCATTGAGCGACGTATAATACGATTCGTAGGAAAGAGGTGTATAGTGTGTGAGAACGTAAAAGTATTGGCCTTCGAAGTGGTGTCTCGAATGTTGAGTTCTAGCACAGGCGACGAGAATTTCCCGTCCCAACAAGCTGTACATTGTCTCGATGGTCGAAGTTTACGAGACCAATGTTGCAGAAAGAACAATGTTGCAGACCAATGTTGCAGTACCACCCAAAGCTAAAGTTTTACTGAAGTATAAACCGTTGAGGACGCCAGGATTGCTGCAGCCACTACCGTACGAATACGAGACAGATCTAGGTGCATCAGAAGCAAGCGTCACCAACGATAACAAGAAAAAAACACTCCACAAATCTTTCCATCGCAAAGCAATAGTGAGAGCACATGTGCAACAATTTGCTTAGAACAGCTTTATTTGCGAACCATGATGGAAGATCCAAGAACGGTCAACTTTGGAAGCAGGACTTCTTTGGCCTCTGCAGGACAGCCGAATTGAACAACTTAGGTTCGAGGATGATCATGAGAAGTTCCAGAGACAGTGCAGATATGGGTTAGAAGACTTCATTTACTTTCGAAGAAATGACCTGCAAGAGAACAAAATGGCATGAAAAGCACAGCTCAAGGTAAGTTGTATGTCCTTCACGAAGTAAACCACTCACAAAAGTCGTGACCTGTTTATATAAATAACCTCACCGATTTTCAGGCTACAGCGTCAATAAAAAAAGTGTAATACATGATGGTGTTAGCCTGCCCGCTTCCTTTCAATACTATCTTGAATATATGGCGTAATTGCTATTAGTTAACGTAACTGTTTGCTATAAGACCAAACCATTATCTCGTTTTTCAATACTTTAGGGCGCCATGTGGTGCGTGCCATATCCAGCGTTTAGGACAGATAGTCCCCAACTATTTTGTTGAGCCCCATTTTAACCCTATATCAGGTACGTTCTGCTACGTCATTTTCTTAAGACTGAATGCGAAGTTTCTACAATTGCTGCATTAACTGCAGAACGTGACAAACGTAAGCAATAACTTTGGCAAGCTGCTTCTATAAAAGAGCAAATGTTACCTTCATCTTGCCTTCATGAGAAATAAACACTTTCATGTTTATTATTGACTAATGGCAAGGGAAACGATACCCTTCGATACAATGAGTTATTTTCGATACTCGCAGTTATGAGTTTTCAAATTTCAAGACCCATTTGTGTAATAAAGTATATTCACAAATATTCGCCTGCGCGTGTCTGATGTCTCTTTGCGGCCGCACCTTAGCACAGTTTAACAAAAGTATGCTAATAATTCCTAATAACAAATTGCTCTCAACTTCGCATTGAAAAACGATATGTATTCCAAGCTTACTGTAATCTTTCCGCAATGCAAAGTCTAACATAGGCTTTAAACTTCATTGCCGAAGGTTTCTGACATCACTTCCTGATCAAATAAAACACCGATTCGTAGTCGTAAAAGAACGCCGCATACAACCTTCGTCAGCTAGCATGTATACTGTTATATTATTTACGAGAAGCCTTTGTTGAAAAGGTGAACAAACGATTATGCTTCTGGTCTCAAGAACCAAACTGCCTTTGATTTTCTTTAGACAGATCGCTTCCTACTAAAGCTACTGACTAGTTTGGCCCTTACATTTGATATGTCTTTATTCTTCTCTGTAGAACCATTCTCGCAATAAGGTTATAACTTTGCTCACCGCAAATGGTAGCTGCAATCCCTTTGGCGCCAGTTTAGCGCCCATAGAAGTAGTGGGGGTAGTAGGCACCATAGTATCCGTAGTGGTACGGGTAGGCGTACGGAAGGATGTACTGTGGTTTCGCAACAGTATAGGAGACAGCGAAAACAGCCAACAGGGCAAGCAGGATCTGCAAAAGGAAATATCGTTTGTTGCTTCTCTGGCTGTTGTATTTCGAGGCATAAGTTCACCTCGTATCGCTCCTGCTGCCTTCTAACACATTGCTTTAAAAACAGCTTCAAAAGAGATGTCTTTTGTCGTGCCGTGACCACAAGCAAGCGTTCAAAAGAGGACACATATGCTGTGAACTAACGCTTTACTCGGACGACAAGAGCGTCTTCCTACTCCGTCTAACAAGCAAGCTCATTGTCGGTCGTATCTCGGCTTCATGTACCCGTCAAACTGCAATAACCATCAATCTCTTCGGAACCCAATCCGCGGTGTGTCGCTTTGGTACTAGCATACTCCTGTATACTTTAGATGTTGCTAATTGTTCTGCAGCTGTCAAGCAACACCGATAAAAATCACTGAATTTTTTTTGTTGTCATGGAACTCCCATTAGGAGAAGTTCTGAATATTTCCTACTTTCTCCGTCTGAACACGGTTCTGAGGAATGTCCTTGGACTGAAGAATACTTTAAGACGTGGCATCAAGTATCTGACACTTTATCATAATTCTCAACGAAATACCTCCCAAGAGCACGTTAACGCATTTTTTTAACATGGTAAGAATGCAGCCGCATACATGGTATATAACTACGGACTGCTCGCAATACTATGCACCCAGAAGTAGGTGATCTTGCCATGACTAAAGAAATATTGTCGACCCTACGCCTGCTTTACAGTGTGGCAGCTGATTCTGTACATACATAAAAAAAGCTGGCCGCGTATCTGCATGCTGCTGTGCAAATGTCGTCGAAAGACGATAATCTTCTGTCCGCCTTCTTTCATGCATAGCGTTGCATTTTCAGCGCTGCTTAAGAAACTCTGGGGTGTTTAAAACTACATATCCAAGTATTGTCTAGAAAAGGAACACTCCATCAAATACCTATGAATTGATGTTGTGCCTCAGATATGCGCAATATGTGCTTTTTGATTGACAATGGTCAGAACTACGAACGCAGCCACCAGTTCAAGAGGGCTGGGCGTTCAGCAAGGGCCTAATCTTTGGCCGGGTAACTGAATGGTGTGACAGACAGACAGACAGACAGACAGACAGACAGACAGACAGACAGACAGACAGACAGACAGACAGACAGACAGACAGACAGACAGACAGAAAGACAGACAGACAGACAGACAGACAGACAGACAGACAGACAGAAAGACAGACAGACAGACAGACAGACAGACAGACAGACAGACATTTCCGCGTTCAAGTATCCCAAAAAAAGACTGCAGTCTTTAAAGAAACGACTTTCTATCTCTTACTTGGCAACAACAGTATAGGATTCCTAGTCAGATCGCCTGAAGGGACTAAGACTCGTGTTTGCCACCTCAACCAAGGATCACAACCCTAGCAAGGATCACGACCTGACCACTTTCAAACACTTGAGTTCCTGGAAATAACGGTGAAGAGTAAGGAAGCGTTTCCGCATACTGACCAGGATCTTGATCATGGTGGTTGGATTGCCGACGCTGCTGCTCGGAAGGAAGACCTCGAGGGGTGCAGAGATTGTTCCGCGTGTGTGCCTGGTCTACGGAACGTGCCCCGTTATATACGTGTCCGTTCAAGGCAATGTAACTCCTCGCTCCCGCTTCACGTTGTCTCGGCACTAGGATCGCGGTTGTGCAAGGCACACGCTCGTGCACTCAGCCACTCGCATGCGACACGTAAAAAACGGGGGGCGGGGGGGGGGCACACCGCAAGGCCGCAGGAAATAGGTTTCGCTTGCGAACGGTTGATGCTGACTTTCTCGCGTAGGTGCGAATGCATTGCCTGCCCCAGAAGCGGAGAGAAATGCTAATAAACTCGCGTTGACACGCGTCTTCACTCCCGTGCTCTTCCTCCCCCACTGGTTTCCCCCTGCAAGGTGTCGCGTCTCTGGTGTATGGAATCTCGGTGAAAAAAACTGTGAAGTGATGTGTTTTTTTTTTAATGAGGAACGGAGAGGTCGCTAATCCGAAAAGTGTTTTGCATTCTTCCATTGACCTACGTGTCGTAAAGCCCTCGAAGAGAATGCAAGCGAAAACTCCTGAAATGCGGTGGGCTGAAGAAACGATTAATGAACAGCTGTTGACACCTTTAATTTGCTTCAAACGCCTCTAATAACATAAATTCTGAAAATCCTTCTTGTATCGCAGTGCCTGCCAATCACGTGGCCCCTTCGTACTGAAGTGTAAATTCGTTACCTAAAAACGTTGCGGTGAATAATATTTACAAGAAAAGGGGAAGTATATGCTATCAAAGACGAATGTCAAAGCAGGCGGCAGGCTTCTTATGCAACTTGCAGCGCATTTCCATGCTCTCCGTGAATCACAAAACCAAATGGGCAAGTCAGAAGACACAAGATTCAGCTTGCTTCTGCTGCTAACTATATAATGCTACATGACACCACTATGCACTGCATGCACATATAACCGAGAACATTTATGCAGCGTCATGGATTTTCCCCCACCCCCTTTCTGGTATGAGACTAGATATTTTGTGGTTGATGCCAAGAGCTATGAAACTAGTGGTTAACTTTTGGAGATATGTTCCCGCCGTGTTAACTACACTACGCTGGTTTGCAAATTCCTAGAGAACCACACTATCTCTGGTGCAGTGAATTCATCTTGCTATTCATTTTATATCCCTTCTTTCATTTGGAAACCCTTATAATATTTGTCTTCGCAGACCGATCCCGCATGAATGGGCACATACGAATACTACAAGCGTATGCTGACGACGTCTCATACGTGCACAACCAATGATCTTTATTGAAAAAAAATCACAGCATATCCAGTGAGTGAATGATGATGAGAGGGGCGTAGCTTCCGTGCGTCCTTTCATCCATGCATCCGTCCATTCATGCGTGCGTCCGTTTATGTGTCCATTCAAGCATCCATGCATCCATCCGTCCGTCCATCTCTTTGTTCATCCGTCCATCTAGTGAACACTCCCAGTACCGCCAACCCACTTATTTTCATCATACATTCATCATATACAAGCACCGCCACCCAGCGGACACTGTAAGGACTAAACGAGAGGTGGCTACTACGACGATGACAGAGGACGTACAACCCACGGCGTAAGGAGCTTCACCCCTAAAAAATCACAGCATATCTACTGAGTGACTTATGATGAGAGGGCGCAGCTCCGGAAGTACATCGGTAAACCATGAAACCTCCGTAAGCCCTATTGCCCTCGCAAGCTGCCTCGGAAAAGTGATGGAAAGAATGGTTCTATTTCCTCTCGAGTGGTACTTGGAACGATACACCAAATACCCTTCGTGCATGGCAGGCTTTCGTCGGGGCCGCTCCTCCATCGACTGTGTCCTTGACTTATCGACATTTGTTCAGCAAGAAAAAAGTCGCAAGCGCATATCAGTGGCACTCTTTCTTGACGTGAAGGGTGCATATGATAATGTAGCTCACGATGCCATCCTCACTTCTCTCGCAGCAATGGGCATTGGTGGACGAATGTTTCAATGGATAAAAGATTATATAACTGGCAGGGGTTTCTTTGTGCAAACATATGAGGGTACAAGTGCTGAACATTACACCTACTGCGGAGTACCTCAGGAAGGTGTTTTAAGCCCCACATTGTTCAGTGTTGCCCTCATTGGTCTGGTGAAGGTTCTGCCAAAGTTGGTGTGCCTATGCATATACGCCGATGATATTTGCCTCTGGAGTGCTGCAGTTACTCGCCCTCAGGTTCGTGCACGAATACAGCGGGCAGCAACCCTCACAACAGCCTACCTTCAGAAACGAGGCCTAACTATACCAACTATGAAGTGCGCGTTGATGGCGTTTACACGCAAACCAATGACGCCATACCCTGTTTACATCAATGGGCAGAATGTCAAATATGCACAGACGCATCGTTTCCTGGGCATAACAATCGACAGAAGTCTTTCGTGGAGCCCGCATTGTGCGTACTTGAAGAAGAGACTGCTATCTATTGTGCATATAATGGAATTTCATGTGCCGGGAAGCATGGGGAACTTCTGTGGCCTCCATGCTACAACTGTACAGGGCCCTATTTCTGGGTCTATTGCGCTACAGCTTGCCGGTACTGACTAACACTTGCAAATCGAATACTCATTCATTGGAGAGTTTGGAGGGTCAGGCACTGCGTATCTGCCTAGGACTGCCCCGATGCGCTTCCACTTATGCCACAATCATGCTTGCCAAAGACCATCCGGTCAGGACATATATAGTTGTGGATTGCCTCAGAGCCCACATTCGAAATGCTAGCCGTGTCCCCGACCACAACTTGGCCCTTTTACCCTCCGGAAGACCACGTGCTACGTTTTCAGACGTCATAGCCAAGCACCTAAACAGCATTCCATCAGGTTATGCGCCAGCTGCGAGAATGGCATGCCCTTTGTGGTGCCTCGACCAGCCGCAAGTACGTCTAGAAATCCCGGGTATCAAAAAGAAGAGCAATCACTCCAGAGTAGCATTGAAGCAAGCAACACTGCTATTATTACATGAGGTGTACTCGGACCGAACGCAGATATACACTGATGGGTCCGTCTTGTCCAGCAGCTCATTAGGTGCCGCTGTAATTCCGGCTGCATCAATGACAATCAAATTTAAGTTGTCGCATATGACTACATCTACGGCATCAGAGCTTGCTGTTATAAGGGCTGTTTACAATATCTCGTTCAAGAACGTCCAAGAAAATGGGTCATATTTTGTGATTCGAAGGCAGCGCTTCAGAGTTTGCAGTCTGCTATGCGTAGGAGGAATCATGAGCAATGGGTACATGATATAAGACATTTCCATCATGAGCTCTAGCACGAGGGCATGGTATTATTTATTTATTTATTTATTTATTTATTTCGACATACTGCCAATCCCATCAGGGATTTTAGCAGGAAGGGCGTGAACATAAAAATTCGAATAGGTACACAATAAAGACATACATCGCGATAAAGTACAGAATGAAACTAACAGAATCGGATCATTTAACAATTTCAGATCAAAGAAGGCATAAAACATTAGTGTAAAGAGAAGTTGTCAGAAGAAAATAAATGCAGCGACTTGGTTGACACATTGGTTGACATATTGGCATATGCATCAAGAAACACAACAAGAAATCACAGCAATAAGAAACTACCCTACAATATGGCAAAGTATTTCAAGGAAGGGCAAATTTATACACACTGAAAAACAGAAACATGTTCAAGAATCAACAGGGCGATTTCTCTTCACCTGGATTCAGTACTAAAAATTGCTTAAAGAAAAAAAATGATGACATGATACTTCGCTCGTACATTGTTCACACGAACACCCATATTAAAATCAACCAGGTGATTCCGTTTGCATAATACAAAGTTCATTTTCGACAAGGGTTAGAAATTTTGCTAATTCGGTAGTGCTGGAGATACTCGGATCCAGTTTATTCCATTCATTAGTGGCTAACGGAAAGAATGAGTACCTAAAGCAGTTTGTGTTGAAGGAGTATTCGTTAAGTCTCATTGGGTGTTTCTGGCGTGTTTTTCTAGTTTGATCAAACGTAAGATAGGCGGATACTTCAATGTTTAAATGACCATGTATTAATTCATGTATGAATTTTGCACGTGCTAACCTTGTTCTATTCATTAGAGTAAGTAATCCAGCTTTTTCATTAGTTCAGTCGGAGAATCTGTATGTCTGTACTTGTTGTAGATGAACCTCAAAGCTTTCCTTTGTATTCCTTCCAGTTTCGTGATTTGCTGTTTTGTGAATGGTGACCAAATAATATTACCGTATTCCAGTAATGATCGCACAAGGGAAGTGTATGCAAGCAGTTTTAGAGAAGGTGGGGCCTGGCGAAGCCGGTATCTGAGTGTAAACAAACGGCGTAGTGCAGCTGAAGTAACGTAACTTATGTGTGCATCCCATCTTAGATCTTCAGTTATAATAATTCCAAGATATTTATGCTGACTTACTCTAGTTATGGGAATGTCATTAATGGTGTAAAGAAAATTTGACCTAGTTTTTTTTCGACTTACTGATAAAATTGTACACTTGTTTGCATTAAGTGACATCTGCCATTTACGGCACCAGCAGAAAACATCTTGTAAAGCACTATTTAAAGCTACATGGTCCTCCGTTGAGTTTATTTCTCGATATAGCACGCAGTCATCCGCGAATAATTTGATTTTTTCCTTAATATTTGTAGGCAAATCATTAATAAGAGAAGAAACAAAATTGGCGCCAGCACACAGCCCTGCGGAACTCCAGATGTGACGGAGGTGGTAGCAGAGGTTTCATCGTTAAATTCCACATACTGTGTACGATCAGTAAGATAATTTTTGATCCAGTTAAGAACAGTAGAATTTCCTAAGGTGGCCTCAAGTTTTTGAAGTAGTTTTTTGTGCGATACCTTGTCGAATGCTTTGGCAAAATCGAGGAAGATTAGATCAGTTTGTTTTTGGTTGTCAATACTCTGGGATACCTCATGTGTTAATTCCACTAATTGAGTTATGGTTGAAAGACCTCGGCGGAAGCCATGCTGATAGAAAGATAATATACGTTTTTCTTCTAGGAAAACAGTTATTTGTTTAAGAATTATGTGCTCC